TAATAATATAATTACCTTAGTGATAACTAATTATTATAAATATAAATCCATCACCATTATTTTTAATTTCGCATAAACATCTTTAATTTTGCCATCCACTTGAAACCTAAACGGTGCGTTTATATATTATTATCTCATAAAAGCAACATTGTAACATTTTGTAAGTTTCGACTCTGCTTTTATTGCAACCACACACTGTTTAGTCGTAAAATGTCATACTAAACTACGTGTTAATAGTAAATTATAGTAAATTAAGTAAAATTTAAATTCTATTTCGCATATTCCGCTACTGGGTTGATGTCTATATTAACATAATCATCTTTATTAGTTTGTTGTAATCAAATTAAGTTGTTATACTCGTATTGTTATATAATGTGTGTAACAGTTAGTAAAATGGTGAGAGAACATAATTGTTTTGTTTTCCTATTGCCTTAACCTTTTCTTTTGTTATCTTTTCGACCAGTGGATTTATTCCTAAAAATATCAATATCAATCCAATTTTTTTTTTGATGGGTGAAAATGGTATGATAACCCCGCCTGCGCTAACGGGATACGCTGGCGGAGCACCAGTGAAAGGTGATTGATGAGAATGAAAACAGGCCAGTTAGCCCATCATGATGAATTCATCAGAAATTAACCATGATAGTTTCCAGGGAGAACCGCGAGAAGGTCGACCTGGTTGGGTATATTGCTAGCAATGGGATTCTCAGTCTCCATTACTAACAATCCAATTCCCCCTAATCCAATCTATTGCCAACGACAATTTTCTACTGCACTCATGAAACAATAATTAGGACATAGGTTATGTTTAATTTGATTTCATTTCATTTGGGACTGGATTGCAATAGTTTGTATTGAGAATTGACACTAATATACTTCTATCAGAATATTGTGGAGTCATTATGGCGCTAATATTTCAATTTGAGAGTACGAATATCGATCTATTGGAATTTATTTCAAGAGTGACTGGACAGATGTCGTACTTGTGTTCACTTTACTTCTGTGTAGGTATATTATCACAAAATTAGCCTTTTAGACATTTATTGTATAGTGTTATAATTAAACTTTTCAGCTGCTAGTATCGCTTAAATTGTCTTTTTATCTAATGGGCAGTACATAAGGAGCTGGATATAGTCCTCAAATCAGAACAAAAACACGTTATTTATTTTTAATTGACACGAAAATTAGAAATTAGAAGAAAATGTTGCGAAAATTAAACTATACGAATATTTTATTTCGACTTGTGAATGAAATTTCGAACTCTTAAATCGTTCATTAGGTAGGTAGGTATTAAAATAATAAATCAACTATAAAAATAAAAAATAAAAATCTATTCATATCATTAAACTTTACCGGTGCGATAAAATCAAGAATCGTATAAAAACAAACTTATTAACTCGCTATAAATGTCACGAAACACCGATAGCTCACAAATAAATTAAGCACCCGAGTTCCATATAATTAAGCACTACAAACGTATTACAAATTAAATAATTTGTACCTATGCGTCGTGTTTGTATTATAAAAAAAGAACTATATAGACGTAAATTCTATTTAATCGTAAATCCTTAATAACTAAGCAGACGTGGTACGCTGCTTTAATGTCAGATTTAGTTACGGTCACCAATATAAATTGTGTACAAACATATTTGTTGTGTCCAATAAAATTGTTACACCAACTTACGTAGTAATAATAAGTTTTCGACTCGAACCGAACACAGTACTGTTGACGGCAGCTGTAAGTATGGGTTTTGGTATTTAAACTCACGCTTGACATGTTTATTATGAATCGGAAGAGGCCTGTTAAATTATTAGAAGTAATCCCGTCGGGCAGGTCCGGTATTTTGGCTTTGTTACGCGCTAGTGTCAATGCGGTAGATACGAGTAAATTATTAGACAGTGAGAAGTTAGATGGGCACGTTTAAGTATTTATAAACAGTGGCCACGGATTTAGTTATTAGAAACTAGAATTAAATGATCGTTGTTTGTAATCTATAGCTGTATTAACTACTCTTACTAATGTAAATGTGAAACTTTGTGGCAAATGCTTGATATAATCTAACTAGACTAAACAAAAATGCGCGCGAAATACCTCGCGTTGAATCAGAAATTTTAAAAAAGTACTTAATCTGTGCTGTAGTGTCGTGTAGCCGTGTAGGTTCCGTCATAGAATAGGCCACCTTTTCTTTTCCCATGGGTGTCGTATGAGGGTCTGTGATGGTGGATGGATAGGCAGCAACATCCCTCTTAAAACATCATGAAAAACTGTGGTTGCCAACCCGCCTGTCAAACGTGGCAACTACTGATGTAACTCCCCTTTGGGTGGAGGCTATGTTCAGCAGCGGACAGTTTAGGGCTGATACAACAACTTAATTTGTGAAGTTGAAAAGAAGACAAAAAGGTATTTGTATTGCGGTATGTTACAGAGCAGTATTTAAAAAGAGTTAGTCTTGCGGGGAAAAAACAATAAGAATAGCTAGTTATTAAATAAATATAATATTCTTACGCTATTATGTTAAATGTTTTGCCAAACAATAAATTCCATGTGAAGAGTATCGATGTTCATTATTACTGAAGTAATCACATCAGCCGGTAACCGTTCACTGCTGGATATAGGACTTCTCCTATTGGGGATTTTGCCAGTAGTTGCCTATATATTCTATTACTTCAATAGAAATACATTGAAACTACAATTAAAATTACATAATTTTCTTTTTTTTATCTTTTTTATTTAGAGGCTTTTATCCTATAAGGATATGTTAGCCTCATCATACCCTAATTTTATAAAATACCTCACATACTTAAAACATTGATACATAAATAAATAATACATAATATCTTAGTGTATGTGTATTGTATTTTGATAAAGGGAATTATTGATACAAATATATAGTTACTTAATATTTGGGCATAAAAGTAATAATTTCAGATTAGAGAAAAATAAATAAATATATAGGTACCTACATCAATCTTGGGGGCGGGGGGGGGGGGGAAGGAATGGTTAGGTATGGGTTTATTAGGAATGGTTAGTAGTTAGTAATGGGGTCAAATAGCCCCATTACTAACAATACCCTATCAGATCGACCTCCACGCATGGTTCCCCCTGGAAACCATCGTAGCTAATTTTAGTAGAAGTCGTCAGGATGGGCTAACTGATCTGCTTTCATCCTCATTAGTCATCTATCACTGGTGTCCCGCCATTGTATACTGATAGCGCAGACGGGGTTACCATACCATTATCGCCCATTAAAAAAAAAAAAAAAACATCAATCTTTGGGACGAATAAACTATTTTGATTTAAAAACTATAGAAATTGCATCAAAATTGGCGGATATATTACAATAAATATATACAAAAATAGAATAGAATTGAGAAACTCCTTTATTCATTACATATACAATTATACGTTGAATAACGTATGTTAAATTACTTATTGTCAATTAAATCCACTGGACTGTTTAAATATACTACCGCGGGAATTACACATGATTGCATATTACAAGAAATAATTGTACCTACTTTATTTAAAACAGGCCGTGATCACCGAAAACGTATTTCATTGAGGTAATACCCGTGTTATGATTATGTAACTCGCACGCCCGGTCGGCGGACCACCCAAATTGGTGATTATAATAAGCCACGCCCGTTACCGCTCTCAAATTTAACTAAATAAGTGTTTCGCCTTCTTGACGCCTCAGTGGATCAATTTGGACACCTACGTAATTCTACCCTCAGAGCGACAGGTGAATTTTGACCTCTCCTTTTAGTGCACCGATTAAGGTAAGGTTAAGAAAAGATAAAATTCCAAAGATCTTTCTAAACTGGTTATGGTAGTAGTAATTTGGACAAAATAGAAAAAATTGGTTACGTGTCATATTGTTTTGGGTCGTTACAGATAATTTGGTATTGTTATAATGATTGAGTCATTTGATGATTTGTTGTTGAGTCAAATTGGTGGATAGATAGGCAGGTACGTATTTATAGAGGGCTAGCCGCGCGGCATCGCGTGTTTGTTTTTAAGTATGTAAGTATCTTTTATATTAGAAAAGTGAAAATCGTAATCAGAAAAGCTGTTTAAAATACAGAAAAAAATGTCAACATAGAGGTTAATAATGAATTCCATTCGATGTTTTTAAATTATCACCTGTCAATTTGTTAAAGAAAATTTAACGAATCGATAAATTCTGAATTTGTACAGTAAAAAATTAATTTACAATTAGTGTTCTTTCCTTTTAAAATTAACTATATTCGAACTCACGTATACAAATATTAATATGCACCCTTTGTACAGTGATCAAACGAAAAATATGCAGTAATACTTGTGAATTAAATTGAAGTGTTATTCAGTACTTTTGGTGTCTTTTGTACCTTTGAATGTTGCACTTGAATAAAACATCAAAGAATATTGTAATACAAGATGTCTGTACGTACATACCTATTACGTATTATACCTATTTTTAAAATTTACCGAGCGCTAACAAACAACGAATACCTGTCTGGGAACATAATCAAAATCCTGAAAATAAATCTTATTGCATTAAAAGAACAGCAAATTGATGTGAGCATTGGCAATTAATTAATATTTTACTATTGGACACAAGTTTCTCACACAGTACTTACTATAATAATAATAGTAATTAGTAGTTCTCTGAACTTCTATTATTACTATTACTTCTGACCAAGGAATTTGGTAATAAGTTTTATTTTATGTCTCTATTGTCTTTTTCTAATGTAACCTACTTTGTTTCTGATAAAACTATGTACGTAATTTGTTTTTACTTTGGTATAATCAATGGGCAATTGTTATTATTTTCTATTTGCCAATATTAATTTCTAAGAATGATTCATAGCCTGTAAGATTACAGGCCATTAAATTACAACCAATTTACAGGCATATATATAATAAATAAGTTGAAAATAAGACAGCTTACTGTTTTATACTATGAACTATAATATTTGACACATTTTTAACAAGCACATTATAATAAGTTTAAACTCACCGATCTGCCAGCGTTGTTGTTGTGAACATTTATCCTTGACTGTAAGTCATCCACTTTTTCTCTCACATCTAAAAACTTCCTAGAGAATTCAATACCATGGGCTAAATTATGAGAGCACCCGCTCCATTCCCATTTGTTGGCTTTCGCCCTGCCCCTAGGATCGTGGGAGGCTCTGTAGCCTAGTGGGTCACAACCGCAGGAGAGGAGACGGCCCTGTGCGCATGCTCGGGCCACAGAATGAGCCACACCTGCTGCTGTTAGGGCGTACAGGAATCCGGCTTCTCTGAACCCTAAAAATATTAATAAACTTCAGTTTAATTAGTACTGATAATGCATAACTGAAATATCTATATATTACTAAGTTTAATAAATAATTCATATTACAAATATTATAAATGTTTACATGTTTGATATGGATTTGATTTTAATTTGGCATATAAATGCACCATAACATATTAGAAAAGGGCACTCTTTTTATTCAACTGCCATGCAAGACTTCAATTTCTGGGAACTATTGATGAATATTCAAATTATACTCCAGTTTACATTTTTGAATTATTTTATGTTTATTTGTTTATTGTTTTTTATTTAGTTTATTTCTCTCACTAACTAACAATATAATAAAACTTATAACATAGCTACATAGGTTACAATTCAAAATAATCTTTGTGACTGATGTCGGTATTAACCTCTCTTACAAATCATCAGGTAATATTTGTAACTGTATATAATACTACAGAGAAGTGATAGATATACAATTTTTTTTATACAACTTAGAATGGCAAACAAGCTGACGGTCTACCTGATGGAAAGTGGTAACCGTCGCCTATAGACATGAGCAGTACCAAGGACATAACAGAGTATACTGTTTCGCCCATGATACCCTCCATGCGTTGCCATTTCTGAGGACTCAGATGTTATTCCTCTGTACCCAGTAAATTCACGCCATATCCCACCCTTCAAACCGAAACACAGTCTTTTATTAATGTAGCGTGAATTACGTAAAAAGTTCTGTTTATATTTACTACTACTTACTCTACATAGGCAGACTTTGTATTTAATCAAAAGGAAAGATTACATTATTTAGAATAGGTACTCTATTTATAACACCACGAGAATATCAGTTTCTAGAGTTTCACACAAGCTTAAACATCAAACGTTACAAAACAGTGTGATAATGCCAATGCAAAGGAAAAACGGCAGTGGTGCAAAACGTCCAGTTCCTGCAAAACTGTATCTGAATAACCTGGTTCCTTATTTCCTTATTCGGTGTGGCCGTCTTGTCTTGAATGACTAAGATGGCTCTTGTGGGATCACTGCACCTATTACATATACGTTACAATGAGTAAATAACTCTTCGAGATAGCGGTGGGTGACTAGTTGATTCTATATCCAGATTGAGTAGATTTTGTAAGTATACGTACCTACGCTCGATTTCAAAGCGTATATATAATGTATTGTATATAATTGAGTAGCTTAAGTAAATGTTATTATGTTAATTATTTAAATCCACTGTCTTTTTTTTTATGGGTGAAAATGGAATGGTAACCCCGCCTGCGCTATCGGTATACGCTGGCGAAGCACCGATGATAGATGATAGATGAAGATGGAGGCAGGTCAGTTGGTCCATCATGAAGAATTTGACAAGAATTCATCACCATGGTTTCCAGGGGGAACCGCGCGGAGGTCGACTTGATAGGGTATATTGCTAGCAATGGGGCTGTTGTTACTCATTACTAACAATCCCTTTCCTTCCTAAATCCACTATCGAAAACAAGAGTTTGTTTCACCACATTTTGTATCCAGTTATATATTTTATCATTCTATTTTTTTTATATCACAGAGGTGGCAAATAAGCATACAGCCTGTCTGATGGTAAACGGTCACTGTAGTCTATGGACGTCTGCAACATTAAGGGTATCACGTGCACGTTGTCGAACCTAAAGAAACGTTAATATACCCTTTTTTAAGAATATCAAACTAGTCTTCATGTTAAACCTCCTATCTATAAGTATTCTTTAATTTGTATCGTTCTTTTTACGTTGTAGAAATTTTTTCAGATTTATAAATATTTGGCATACAATTTATATGAATGTACATCAACATAAAAAGTCATATACAAAATGAAATACCAGAGATATCGGGATATTGCAGTATATAATCTGGTAAAGGCATTCAAGTCCGTTTCGATTTATGGGAACGCGGGACGTGGCGACCACCATTTATCTATTTTATTGCAGTAAATTAAATGGTGAATCCATTCGCGATGTGAAGATAAGCTATTGCCCTCGAACAATGTAATCTTTTTACCATAAATAGTATGATTGGCGATTTGCATTTGAGTTAGGTCAGAAGAAGCCGGTAGCTCGGTTAATTGTATTCGGTTGTTACTTCGTGAAAGTTAATAATGCGCTATTCTTGCTATTTCATTGTGTCAAGCGAACCTTTAGATTTTAAGAGCCATCTCCTTTTAATGGGCAATTAAATCAGCGAAGGACAGTCACCTGCTAAGAGGTAATATATCCTGGTTTTTATGTTCGTTACATAACCTTTAATTAATTAACTTTAGCGATTTAGTGCGCGGTTGGTATTAGATTAATGAATAGTTAACAGTAGGTTTTATTTTTTTACGTAGACGTATAAAAAATGTACTAATCAGTGCATAATCTAAAATTTACTCTAATAAAATGGTATACGTAGTTTCCAAAAACGTTTGCATTCTTAACTTGAAAATTTCTACTATAATTTACTAGGACCAATGGACTGTTTGTCTTAGTTGTAAACGACGATTACTGCTTTCCATTACATTAAACATCACCTTATCAATTTTGATAATATAAAAAAATAATTGCTAATTTGAATGTCATCATGTTATTAAAGCAAATATTTTATATAAGATTATACCGTAGTTTTCTGCACGAATACATTTCTCCCATCTATGTTTCTAGCGTGAAGCAGGCCGTGATTGTGCGACTGTGTTTCAGTATATGGGATATGGCATTAGAATTACAAGGTAAGGAGACATCATACTATGCACATCAGAGTGTATTTTGTAATGTCCATGGTCCTATTTATTAGGTTATCGCTTTCCATATGCATTTGGTGGGTAGATTATTAGCTAAGTATTAATATTTCAGCCGTTAACTGTCCACTGCTAAATATAAGCCTTCCCCATAAGGGGAGTATTGCCAGTTGTAGCCACGCATGACAGGTGAGTTGGCAACTCTTAAGCTTTTAGAGAAATGTTTTAAGTTCTTTTAGAGAGAGTTTTTAGACGCTACTGCCTATCCCTCTTCCTCCCTTAGTCGACTCTTACGACACCCACGGGACAGGAAGGGGTGGCCTATTTTATGTAAATTTCCACCTAATCTGTACCTAATTGTCACCCAGAGACATGACTGTACCATAGACTAATATAATAGTTTTGAGGATAAGTATATTTTGCGTCTGTGCCTAGTGCTGTCTTATATCCCAAATAAAATCCATTGATACATAATAATGATGCATATTTAATGAAAAAAAAAATGGAAAAAGAAAATTCACCAAATTGCATTGTCTGTGGAAAAGTTGAAGATGTACAGCACCTATTGATGGAATGTGAGAGGAACCGAAGGGAAAGGGAAACATTTTTAAAAATATTTAATATTAATAAATTTGATGTGGTGATTGTTCAGAGCATAATGCATGCTGCTACTACCAAAATTGCTTTGTGCTTAAGTGAATTAGTAAGTAGTATTGTTTAGTCATAATTATAATAGTAGATAACTTGTTTAGATTTTATGGGATTGACATGTTAAAAAACAAAAATCCCAAATTAAACGTAGATAAAAAAAAATAATTAATAACTGTATCATATATAACTCAATAATATCATATATTAATTCAATAACGCACCGCCTATTTATTTTAGAGTTTGCCTAACAGTTGACTGGTAAAAAACCCCGTCCGGTGTTAAGTCCGCCATATGTAGAGGTACATAATTTCACTATGCAATGAAGTTTAAATAAATAGATACATATAGTATATTATGGGTATGCGAAGACTTTTACTAAAGAGTACCATTTAAAAGCCTTTGTATTTGATCAAGTCGTTCTCACGAATGCACCCACAGTGGAATATCTCGATGTATCCGATATGAATGCAACGAATAAATTAATTAGGTTCTGGCACATGATTAATACAAGGATCGGCGTTATCTACCGGATTAGTGGCTCTGCCTCTATAGTGAGTCTAATTGACGCTCAGAGATATGGTTTATTAAATAATGGCATTTTTATTTGGAAGTCAGGGCCAGTCAGGGGTCGTTCACAAACTCCATTGGTATATAGATACAGGTTTTTATGACAGTTGTTTTTTTTTTGTGTTTTATAACACTACAATCATATTGAACTGCTGCGTTATGTGGAATTTAAAGCTGTTCCATCAGTTACAAGCTTATAAAGGATAATAAATGTCTTTTTTATTCCTCTATAAAGCTTTTGTTCGGAGTCAATTTAGTCATACAGAAAATTCAGATGTAAAAATGATGTGTTGTAAGTTTTAGTATATTGTTCTGTTATAATTATGCCTATATTTATTTATTGTTTTAAACACAACTAGGCGATATTTTAATAAGTATTTAATTTTATAATTTAAATTAAAAACACTTATTATTTTCAGACTTTGTAAATCTTTGCTTTAGGAATATTTGTTATATACAAGCTATATTCCTCGGCTTCTGCCTAGATATAACCTACTCATGTAGGAAATATCAATGAAATTCGTTCAATAGTTTTTGTGAGAAAGAGTAATAAACTATCTTTTTTTTTATACAACTTATAATGGCAAACAAGCTGACGGCCCATCTGATGAAAAGTGGTAACCGTCGCCTATAGACATGAGCAATACCATGGACATAATAGAGTATACTGTTTCATCCATGATACCCCCCATGCGTTGCCATTCCTGAGGACTCAGGTGTTATTCCTCTGTACCCAGTAAATTCATGCCATATCCCTTCAAACCGAAACACAGCCATGCAAACACAATTGCTTCACGGTTGAAACACGAATGGGACAGAGGTACCCAAGCAATAGACTTTTGTACAGTCTCCCTCTGGTAAATCTATCCATTGTTACAAACTTTCGCATTTATTATATTAGTAAAATTCCTATAGGCTCTATCTGCCTACCCCGTAAGTGACGCGGCGTAAATATAGATAATCTTCATATTACAAATGAATGACATTAATGTTGTATTATGTTACGACTGAAAATTCAAAATTTGGGTACCTACTGTTTTCACTTTTCAA